GCTGAATGCTAATTTTGGCCCATCCTCTCTACTGTTATTAGACTGAAAACTTCCCTTTTAGATAGAACTTACAGCTAGGGCTGGATCCAGTGACCCCGAATTCTCACTTAGGCATAGGCTGCTGGGGGCTTCCCATCGTGCACTGAGTATTTCCTGTTCACTCTCAGTGTGTTTGTACACCACTCTGAATTTACTCATTAGTCATGGAGGATTCCTGCCCCTCCCTGAGCCTGGTTCTGCTGAAGGTTTCTACTTGTTAAAAGGGAGTTTTTCTTTTCAGCTGTCGCCAAGTGATGGCATACAGGGGTCTTCTCTGTATTATCGTAGGACTTTTACTTTGAGATGACTCTTGCTGTGATTTGGGACTATATAAACAAAACTACATTTAATTGAACTGAATGTCCCCCCCACTGCACCCCACTGATACTCTTTCATTAGAAACTTCATACTGATACTTCATACTTATACTGATACTATACTTATGTACTTATATACTGAGCCACATCTCTAAGTCCAACTTACGGCTAGACGATGAGGCAGAGAGTTTTTTAAAAAAAAACAACAACTTTTGACTTAACTACCCCACAATTATGCTTTGGACAGAGAAACCAAAAACAAGCCGGTGACGAGGCAACACCACCTAGAACCACACCGTCGGCACGGCTGCGAAGTTTGACAGTTGAATTAGAGCACACTCTAGTTTAATACCGGTTTTGTCAGCTGTCTGGCAACAGCACAGCACCTTTGAGACTTTGGAAAAATCTCGACGTCTCGCTCCCTGACTTACCAGCCTGTAAGACCTACATGTCATAAAGGTTTAAAAATAATTCTTTTTAGTATACTCTATGGACTGCTTCAAGTGAGTCATTTGGGTTCAAAAACGTTCCTCTGGAACTTGAATGAGAAAACGGCAGCTTTTAGTTCAGGAAGGAAGACAATTATCATTTTAATTTTCTCATCACACCCGGTCTCCACCTCTCAAATATTACCCACAGAACTCACTAAGTTACGTGCACGTACACCACTGTCGACCATGATTAGCCAAGCTGGCACACTTCTTTACTGTCTTTGCTATCGTTGCTGCTTCACTGCTCCACCATCGGGGTCTCTCGCAGACTTTCATTGCCGTGACTGCGGGGTAGACGTGTAATAAGGCCAAATGTGACATATCTTTTAAGGTGTATCAAAGCATTTTCATGTTGAATTTGAGGAGCTGCGGCCATTCCGTACTACTGTGTCTCATCTGATATCAGAGAAATAAGAAAATAAGGAATATGAGTAACATTATTTATGGCATTAATGCAACAGTTGGGATACATCTGTGACCGGTCAAACTGAGTGGGTGAAACCAAACAGTCGCATTAAATAAAGCGAATCGTGCTCATTTTTGACCCCAGTGATTTGTAGAACGATCAAAACACGCCTCGGCTTGGTGAGCGAGCGAGGAGCGCTGATCCCGGCCAGCTCTCCCAGTCTGTCTCACTGGCTGCAGGCCCAGAGGGCAGGACACAGGAATGGATGGGCCTGTCGCCGCTTCTCTGCTGCCCAGATGGCTCGCGCTGTCAGCGGGCCCACCGCCATAATGGGTGGCACCCTGACGTCAGGCCATGATTCGATACGCCAAGTTTCATTTGCTCCTGCCCCTTCCCCCCAACACCTGTGGACAGCGTGGAGAAATGAAGGGGTGGCGATACTGGAGCCCGGCCAAGTGTGTGCATCTCTGTTCTCGTACTCGTCTCCTTTTCCGAGCCAAGTCTCATACTTGCAGCAGGAGGATGCAAGTAGGCTGATAATTTACATTAAATACACAAGGTTTAATGATATTGCACCATCTTCTGAGCACGTTATTGTCATTCAGTTGTAGATGTTCACATCTACATTCATGGGCTGCTGTGGACACAATTTGCACAGCAACAGTGAAACAAATTATTCTATGTAGCCTGAAATCTTACATCAACTCTACATTTCCCATCAGCTCACTGGTAAGTTTGGTTCACAGAAAGGAGAATGAATGTTGGGAATAAACCTGTTTTACAATAAAAATAAAACATAATTTTTTCCCAGATTTATGAGGTTCTCGCTGGACGTAGAGAAAAAGCCTTTTTATGTATGTTTGTGTGTGTTAGAGCCCTGCCTTCAGTTCAGGAGATGAGGCTCAAGGTGAGGAAGGAGGGGATGACGTTTTATCCAGATGCCGGTCACATTGTCTCTTTCCTTCACGCTTTTGCTTTGGTGGTGAAGAGCACCCTTATCAGGTGATAAAGCACCACGTGAATGCTTATGACTTCTCTTCTCTTCTGCCTTTGGCAACAATATATATGTGGCCATCTTTATCCAAATACATGAAATGCCATTAAGTGGATCCACAACCTGAAACCGGCTCATATCTATTTTTAATTAATTAATTTTAAGTTTATGGAAGACATGAGTTTGTTAAAAATGTAATTACACCCTAATCAATGTATATTTACTCTCAAACCCAAAACGTTAGTAGCTGTCTCTTTAAAGCTGCTGAGTTATGTGGTTAAACTGGAGCTTCTGGGTAATACGTAGCTGTTTCTAATGAAAAGGTTCCTTCCTGGGAGCAGAGCAGACGTGACCAGATGTTTAATTCAAATAAACCGCTTTCTTTTAAGCTAATAATCATATCACACAATTATCAGGACGTATGCCACAACCAGACAAATCCTTTTAGAGAGCAATTCTCAGTCTGGGTCTAATTTTTGATAAAACTCTCAGTGCTCTCATTGTTTACAGCACAAATCTCCCATTTACTGCAAGTCCCTTCAGACTTGCGCATGAAGTAATTTTAGAGAGCCAAACAACGTGGATTTAAGTCCTCGAGTATTATAATTCAGAAGATTTGTGTTGTGAAATTAGTTTTTTTCATTACAACAATAGGAATGAGAGCCCTATCTATGGGAGCATGTAATTTAACTGCCTCGGCTGTCACCGCTTTGAGCGTAAGAACTGTGATGAAGGGTGCCGAGCTGAATGTCGTTTCTTTGCTTTGCCGACTGGTTGCTTCACCTAATGCTCTGTCTGCTTTGTAATTTTCCTCGCGCATCCAACAGCACGGAGGACGGCCAAATTATTCTTGCCACCATGTAATGATCACTTCTTGGATTCCATTAGGACCCAAAATATAAAATAACCTCTTTAGTGTGCCCCTGGTGATTTATTGTTCTCACTTTTGAAATGTCAGCCCCACCCCTCCATTTCACGCTGTCACCCTGCATGTAAGATTCTCACCGGTGTTGGAAAGCAAGTGACCCATGACCCGCGTCCTCTACGCCCACTTCTGATATGCTTTCGTGTGACAAAAACAGTGTTGTGGAAAAGGCTTCAATGAGCGTGTAGTCTGTTTTATAGGTACGTGTGTGTTTCTTTTCTACACCTGTAAGCGTTCCAAGACACTGTGACAGCACTTTACATCAAGAAACAGGAACTAGCTTTCATCTGTCACTCTGTCACAGTAAAACAAACGTGTAGGAACTGAGCAGGAAGCACATTTGTACACAAAGCTGCCATCCTATGGGAACTTTATGTGTCTGTGTAAAAGTCTTTATATTATTTCAAAGAAATGACACTGAGCAACAAAAAAGCAATAAAAGTATTGGACTAAAAGCTTTGTGTGAGGAATGTTTGGAATATTTGACTAGAATTCCACTTACGTTTGAGGTGTCTGTACTTTCATGTGAAAATACCACATTTTAGCACAATCCCTGCTGACGCGGTATGTCTATGATCCCCCGGATTTGAGATTAAACTACAAAATGATGGATTACAATCATCATTATTCACCTTTCCCTTTGAGCCAGGCATGGTTCTGCTTTGTGGAAAGGTTAAAAATGGGTATTTATGTGAAAATGGTACTCTTAAATACTGGATCAGTGTACATCACAAAAACATGGATTACATTTTGCCATGAGGGGTATTTTAAAGTAACATGGCATAGGGGTTTATAACATCCCTTAATCTTGTTTATACATTATATGGCCAAAAGTTTTTACTTGACTTTACATCGAATTTAAGGGTTTATTTAGAGCATCCACTATTAAATATTCCACAGTTCACTGTTAGTGGTTTGATAACAAAGTGGAAGCAATTGGGAACGACAGCAACTCAGCCATGAAGTTGTAGGTCATGTAAAATTACAGAGCGGAAACAGCAGATGCTGAGGCGCGTCGTGCGCAGAGATCACCGACTTTCTGCAAAGTCAATCGCTACAGACCTCCAAACTTCATGTGGCCGTCAGATTAGCACAAGAACAGTGTGTATCGCTGAGCAGCTGGATCTGAGCCGTAGAATGCATTGGTGTGAAGCACGCTGACATGTCCTCTGGAGTGGCTTCTTTGTCTGGCAAACCAATGGACGAGTCTGGGTTTGGCGATTGCTAGGAGAACAATACTTCTCAGACTGCATAGGGCCATGTGTAAAGTTTGGTGAGAAGGATTATGGTGTGGGGTTGTTTTCAGGAGTTGGGCTCAGCTGCTTAGCTACAGTGAAAGGAACTCTTAATGCTTCAGCATAGCAAGACATTTTGGACAATTTCATACTCCACACTTGGTGGGAACACTTTGGGGATGGCCCTTTCCCACCTTCCCAACATGACCAGTTCACAAACAAAGGCCCATAAAGACGTAGATGAGCAAGTTCGGTGTGGAAGGACTTGACTGGCCTGCGCAGAGTCCTGACTTCAACCCGACAGAACACTGGATGTAAAAAATGTTGTCGCTCAAGCTCATATGCGTGGTTTTCCACCTTGTCACACAATCATGACATCTGTTTTTCAGCAGTAACAGATTCTAATATTTACTCAGAAAGAATTTGAACAGTCGATATGCATGTCATACATCAGGTCTGATACATTTTCATGTGAATCGAGGCGTTGCTCGATCATGTCGCCCTGGGTCTCTATTTTCTTCCATGTCATAAATAACCAGTCCTCGAGGCGGGTTCAATCTCACATCAATCAGACCGCCCGAAATGGACATTCATTTGCTCCGACCTGAACGGCACAATTGTGCTCATGCAGAGACCCTGCAGAGCCGTGGCTCTCAACCTGCGGGGAAGGCACACCTGGTGGCGCATAGAGCCGCCGCAGGGGGTTGCATGGACGACCAGCAGAGAAGCAAACTTTAATGAAAAGGAGTACAAGGAAAATAAACAAGACTTTGCTGATGTTATTGTGCTGACCTTTCCCTCGCTAAAGTTTAACTTTTCATCCCTTTGTTCTGCTTTCTTTTTTATTGATTGATTAAAAATGTGCAACTGTTTGCAGGTCATATTGGATGAAGTTTTGCTGGAGAGGAAGAAGAATAGTCATCAATATATTCTGAGGTGGTTCATGTATTCAGTCTCAGTTAGGCCTGCACAGTCTGAGGAATATCTTGAATGCTGGATTGAATTGGTCAGTGCTGTAATCAAAGTTTGTTCATAGCTGTACAACTCCAAGGTTTTTGTGGATTAAAAGGTAAGAAAAGTGTTTCTTAGAATGTGTTTCAGGCAGTGATGGCGATAAAAATACGATATAGCCGCACCAATCTCAGTCGCTATAAAGAAGCTGGTGTTTTCTAAAGGTGATGGACATCCTGTGTCTTCACTGATTATTGGAGAAGTTCTTATCAAAAGTGTTCTTTTGATTATGATATAAATTTTCTGCTTTATGACTTCCTCTGGAGGTTCACAGAATATCCTCAATTTGCTCTGAAGAGTTGCCAAGTAACATCCTCTGTCCCTCAAAGATGTGCATGCTGAGAACGTCACCAGGTGGCGTCCAGCTGAGATGTTCTCAGAAAATCAAAACACTAGCTGAGACGTTCCCTTTTGGATTAGTGCGCAGATAGCACCTGCTTCCTGCTGTCCAACTCCATCATGGGGCAAATTTAACCAACATTGCTTCTAGACTGAACCTAGATCTGCTTTAGTGAACCATTGCTTAAACGTTACAGTTTTATAGGAGTATACATTCAGCGCCCACTTTATTAGGGACACATTGTTAGTCCAAATTGGACCCCTTCTTGCCCTCTGAACTGCCTTTATTCTTTGTTTCATCCATGCAACAAGGTGCTGTAAACATTCTTCAGAGGTTTTGGTCCATGATGACACAATAGCGTTGCACAGTTGATGCAGATTTGTCAGCTGCATATCCAGATGTGAATATTATGTTCCACTGTATTCCAAAGGTGGATTGAGGTCTGATAACTGTGGAGGCCATCAGAGTCGAGTGATTGGAGCTTTGTCACATGGTACATTATCCTGCTCGTAGCAGCCGGGACAAAATGAGGAAACTGCAGTCATAAAGGGATGGATATTGTCAATAACAGTACTTGGGTAGGCTGTGGGTTTTAATCCATGCTCACTTGGTACGAAGGAGCTCAAAGTGTGTAAAGAAAATATCCCCCACACCCTTTCACCACTAGCACCAGCCTGAATGTTGATGTAAGGCAGGTTGGAGCCATGCTTTTATATTGTTTACACAAAACTCTGACCCTACCATCCAAATGTTGCACAAGAAATCCAGACTCATCAGACCAGTTAATGTTTTCCAGTCTGCTGTTGTTCGATATTTGTAAACTTGCGCAAAACGCATATTACAAAGTCAATCTAATAAGAGGGAGCCCTCAGCGCCAACTACATATATTTTTAATTTTGCATAAGATACTGGGATATTTATAATTGGAGCTATTTTGTTCTTTTTGTAACTTTGTAATATTTTGTATCATTTAATTTAGTTACTTACTGTTCTGTCTTGTAGCAACTGTGAGGACATAATTTCCTAAGAGGTTAATAAAGTATTCTGATTCTGAGCTAAGAGTGACATCCGATGTGGTCTTCTGCTGTTGCAGCCCATATGTCCCGCATTCAGAGATGCTCTTGTGCATACTTTGTTTGTAATGAGTGCTTATTTGCATTCCTATCAGGTTGAAACAGTATGGCTGCTCACTACATTTTCTCTTTTTCAGACCATTCTCTAGAAACCCTAGAGATGGTTGTGTCCATTCCAATCCCAGTAGATCAACATCTGGTACCATCTGGTTCAACTACCATGCCACATTCAAAACTACTTAATTATCTTTCTTCCTCTTTCTGAATAAATGGAATTTAAGTTTGCAGGTCGTGTTGACCATGTTGACGTGGCTAAATGCACTGAGTTGTCGCCATGTGATTGGCTGATATTAGGACTTGAACACGTGTAACAAAGTAGCCATCGACTGTGCACCTTTAAAACGTTTTCTACGTGTACTATTTCTACTTCCTAAAAAGAAAAATACGCCTTGTTTACGAAAACAAACTGGCCTATCTTGGTTATAAAAGTCTAAAATATAAGAGGAGTTCAGAGATGGCTCAACGTTGTTTCCTGGGAGCGGATTTCAGAAGTGTCCAAAGTTCTTGTATAACACAAATTAACACTACATCTCACTGCTGTTTAGACACATGCATGAGAAATTGTTTGTGTGAGCTGAGCTTGTAAAGTGGTAACGGCTAAAAATGAATGAACACACAAAAAAAATAAATCACAGAGTTAGTCACTGTTAGAGAAAAATTAACATTTATTATAAAAATACAATTGGCTGTCACAGTAATATTGTTCAGTATGGTCATTCGTTAGAATTCAACACAGGAACAAGTCAAAGTTGTGTAATGCCATCCCCCAACATATATATATATATATATACACACACACACACACACACACACAAATCTATGGAAGAAACGTGCACAAAAACAAAATTTAGACACACATCCTCAAAACAGATAAAAGAACAAAGTGGCTGAGCTCGTCTACCGGGGAGGATATAAAAATAGATAAGGACATAAGGTTCCTTCTCAGACAGGAAATGAAGGAGATGGACTCAGTCGTCTTTCACACATCACACTCATTATCCATTCCTCTCAGATGCCGCCTCCTCCCTCTATCGCACGCCGACTTTTTGGAAAAGAGACCGAATCCGTCAGTGTGAAATGAGGTCAGTGATCACATCGCCGATGGAAAATCCCCTACAGTACCCACCAGACCAGGGACGAACACACACACACACACACACACACACGAGGAGTAAGTAGACTTTCTCTCCGACACTCGCAGTCTCTCTCCGAGACACACACAGATGTGTTGCTAAATGGTTGCCATGACAACTCTGTTAGGTTCCCAGTCGGTCAGGGAGAGTGTGAGAGTCTGTGTGTGGAAAGTGTAATTGAGTAGAGTGATTTAGGGCTCACAAAGAAAGTCATTTAGTTTCAGAAACGTCCATTTTAAAAGACAATTCCAGGACCGTTGGCTCCCAAATAAGCCTGCAGGGAGTCGAGCGTTAACGCTGTGACTAAACGGTCAGGAAATACTGTCCTCCTCCTCCCGCGGACACACCGCAGCACCGTCACATCATCGGTCTGACACCTCCTTAAGTTTGGCTTTCATCGGACAATTGCACTTCATTTCTTTATTTACGTCTCCGGGTCTGGTTTGCTGCGCAGACGCTGACGTGTGCGGATTAAAGCGAACTAGGTGTGCTTGAAGTGTGAGCTGCCGCATCCTAAATTTCGACTCAAGCTCCAGCCTAATGATGAAATATTTTCATCTGAGCCGCATCACAGCGTGAGAAAATCACAGTCAGTTTGATCTATGCTTCAATAAAATCGTAACTGGGAGCCACGGGTAGATATTGCAGCACTCGCACTACAGAGTCATTCATGGGTAATATGAAGCAATCTTAAATTTTTTGAGAGATTCTGATTAAATCACGAGTTATTATAGAAACTATTTATGGTCCCAATTCCTTTGCCATCCAATTTATTTACATTGTGTAATCACCTATTCATTTAGATTCCCTTGTTAGTGGCAGGTTCACCATTCCACCACGCTAGGCTTTAAATTGCCTTCATGAGCACATGAAGTAGCGCAGCGTGTAATCTGTACAGACGTATGAATATGAATGTGAATATGCAGAGTGGAGCTTTAATGTCCACTCCCGTCTCAGCAGGTTTCGGTTGCAAGTTAGCATGTCTGTGGCGAGCTTATACTGGAATTAAAAATGAAAATCAAGCTTCAATCTAAATTCTGCATTTGTAAACAACGACTACAGCATGAAACATGAAGTCCTGGCCAGGACATCTTCTTTGTTTGGCAGTTTTTCCATTTTATCACACAGATATCAACCTCGCTGTTTACCTTCTCTCCAAACCTGAGCCAGAGCTGTAGCTCAACTGTATAAATGTTCAAACATGGGCAAGTCTGTTTTTTTATTCTAAGGTGGTCACAGCAAAGGTGGTGTATTTGTTTACTGTGCCAATGAAAAACCAGTAAGCTTAAAACTAGTCTTAGTTAAAAGTGAGATTGTCAGTTTTGTTGTAGTTGACAATGATAAAGAACAATCTGTGAGGTCAGCTTATATTAAAAGGCTCTTGATAACTGTTAAAAAGAGGGAGGGGGGGCTACAAACAAAGAGATGACAGATGTACAACATTAAACAGAAAACACATACACACATCATAAGGTGATGTTAAAGATTGCATAGGATGTCCAAAAAAGGCTTCAGACTGCAGGAAGAGCAAAGAAGACAATTTAGGAACATTAAAAGGAAAATTCCAACAATTTTGAACTGATTACATTAAAGAAACAAGAGCTGAGGTGGACCTCCCCCCCCCTCAGTCTCATCCTTTTTACATACTCTTGTTGTGTCCTACATCTCCCATCATGCCTCTGGAATGTTCCAAAGGGAAACTGAGCAAACAAAGCCCAAGCCCGCTTCACTGTTTTAAGTTGGAATCTTCTTTTAAAGATGGAAAACTCTGGATGTGCTCAAAGTCACACACATAACACATGCACTGGACCGCACAGACAGACTGAGCTGGTGCCTGAGGATGTGATGCTACTTCAGATACAGGAGGACTGCACTTGTCAATAGAAGAACCCACGAGTCTTAAAACACATTCAAAGATCTGTGTGGCGCTTTTAGGAGAGTGGGAAGCACAGATAATATCTAACCCTCCAAGAGATGCTTGCAAGAAAACATTCAGTCGAGACAACATAAACTAGAAGATTCTGTACACGTGACTACCTGTGACTGACATTTTTGCTGGCTTTGAATTCACTGCTTTTCTTCTCATAACTATTTAAATTATGTTGTTTTCACTTTGATGAAATTAACAGAGTTTTTGATGATTCAGTTGTTGGAGAACCCAAATCTTGGTCTGGTAGACCATAAGAATAATCTCCTGTCTGATTTGAACAAGTGATCTCATAACACTGTAGCACGTTGCAACAATGTGCTGAATGTAAAATATACTAGTCGGTTAACAAAACACCCAGCTTCATCGTTGTTTGAGTGTTCGCTCAGGCCTGCAGGAGTTTCTTGAGGTCCTCGTCTAAGCCTCGAGCCCTCAGCTGCTCCAGGCTGTAGTAGCGATGGATGACGTTGTCTGCAGTCACTACCACCACCCTGACTCCGTGGGTGTCCTCTCCCAGCTGGCAGCCGATGGCCGAGCTTACGACCATGTCCAGGCCACCGTGGCAGCCCCCGGCGTTACGGTGATAATGACCGGAGAAGACCGCCTTCACCCCTGCAGCGAGGAGGGACAGAGAGGTAGTGGTGAATGGTACGGGATGCTGAATTTACAATAAATTGGAGGCAGAACAATATTAGATTTTTCAGGCTGATACTGAATTATGAATTTCTATTTAGATTTTTTAAAAATATTTTTCTATGATATGGTGAAAAACAATTACAAATATTTCACAGCTTTTAGAGTTTTATTGGCAAATAAATCACATTTATCCAAAGAGTCACTATTTACAGCCTCGATCCTTCTTCTTCATAACTTTTACAATTCTCTGTAGAACGTTAGCTTCTGGGTCAAATTCTAGATGAACCAATCCTGCCTTATCAGTGCTTGAAGTAGATCAGTTTGTGGGCTTCTGCCTGCCCACCTGCTCTCTGGGGATTGACTATAGATTTGATTAAGATCTGGAAAGTTTTCTGGCCATGGATGCAAAATGGAGCCACTTGGTTATCTCCTTTGCGTTGCGACAAGGTGCTCCATCATGCTGGAAAATGCACAGATTGTCACCAAATCACTGCTGGATGGCTGGTAGAAGATTGTCTTTGAGGGCATATTTAGCATGGTCAATCCTTAACAAGCACAAGCACCCAAATGTGTCATGAGCGTTGATCACTGAAAAGGCAGGAATAGGGTGGCATCATTTAGGTCTATGATATATATATATATATATTTTAAAGTCACTGTTTAATAGCTTCCCAGCATTGTATTTTATATACCACTTAGCAACATCTCTTGACTGATTGCTTGCTACTTTTTTTAGCTTCCTCTCTGGCCTGTGTGCTGCAGATGCCTTCAGTTGCTGCTTGTTTCTGGGTCTTTCTACATTCAGTTTTGTTTTTAATAACTGAAAAAGATGCTCTATTGCGTTGAAATCATGCGAATGACTTGGCCTTCATAAACTCTTTGGGTTGCTTTTGCAGTATGCGTTCATAGTGCAGTGCTAGCTGGTTTTTTTCAGGACTGTGGAGGCTCGCATGTGTTTTCTGGAAACATTTGATCTAGTCTTCTTGTTCTTGAGTGTAACCAGTGGTTTGCACCTAGATATAAACCCTTTGTATTTGCATTTCTGACAGTGTCTCTTGGCTAGTTATTGTGAATAGATTTTTCTTAACCAACGACAAAATTCTGCGATCATCCACTTTAGTTGCATGATCAAACAAACAAACAAAAAAGCAAGAGAATAAAAGCAGAATAATCTAAAAGGTGAGATGAATCGGGTAAAGAATCAGTGATGTACAGCAGGAAAAAAGGGGCAAAAAAGGAAAAATATGATATGATGTAAAGACTCAAAACTGGAAATTTACAAAGGGAGGAAGGAAATGAGAGAAAGGAACAGACGGAAAAGCAAACTGTGGAAGCTTCCACTTGTCACATAGGAAACTTTCATTAGGGTGGTTACGATTTTCAATTTGATTTCAATTACAAACAGCATCATTATATAGAATGGTGAGGGTTTGGCTTGGCCCTGCGGCAGTCATGCTGTGTCACTTCAGTTGAAATGAATGCACACTTAAAATGGCATGCCAAACAAGCCTCAGTTTGAATGAGGGGTGCAAGATAAGTTGTTTTTCTGTGTGAAGGTTGTATTTGTCTACAAATTTGTTTCTCGTTTGTGGGGAGAAACAATTGGACTTTTAAGCAAGCTCCTCTCATTTCTGGCCAATTTTCACTTGAGCGAGGGGTAAACAAGGTCAGAATGTGAATTTGAGGGGGAGAATTTTAGATAAGAAAAAATAAGGTGACGCTTGTCACTGGATTAATGCTTTAATATTAGGATATAATAAGGTCCAATACAGTAGGTACCCGAATTTTTAGACATTTCCAAAAATATTTAAGCTACAGTTCTATAACGAATAAAGACTCAGAATGAATACTGGCTTAACGTGAGCTTAAAGTAATTATTTTTGGTCAGGGGACCAGCGGTAATTGGATTATTGATTCAAAAACTCTTAAAAGGTTGTAAGTGGATCCCAAATGTAGTATTTACATTTGAAATCTGCTCTCAGTACAAGTGAAAAAGTCTATCCTTAGGCTTAAAAAAACAACAGAAATCCACCAGAGAAAACAGAGAAGATTAGGAGTGGTCACATTAACAATACAGTACATTCTAAGAAAACAAAATGCTGGATGGCCGTGGACAAACACAGTGGCGTATGATCACAAATGATCACAACATGGAGCTCAGAAAGGACATATTAGATGCTGCCCATGCCAACCAGTCGCCAATCAGTCTCTAGATGTATGTGACACCAGCCTAAGATCAAGGATCAAGGAAAGTATGAAGACTCCATGGAGTGGCTTACAATGGCAACCATAAATCGTCATCTGTAAAACACTGAGAAGCAAGTGTGACGACTTTGGTATTTGTGGTTTCCAAAGGGAATCTGTCAAAAGTTTATAATCGATGATGTGGTACAAACTATAAAAACTGTTTCCAAGGACACAAGCAGCTTTAGAGTTATACAGTCTGCTTAGATTAAGCAAACGCAGCTAAGGTGATTAGAGATGCTCCATAGTAACAGTGCACAGTGATCTAAAGCGAAAGCAACACAGGAGTTGCAGGAAACATTCTGTCAGGGTCAAATCAATCACTTCATCACATTTTGCTAAGTGACACAAAACTAGTTGCCTGTGAAGAAGCCTCAAAGTACTCAAAACTAATTTGTGGTCAAGTTAATAGGTGAAATTAAACTTTAAAATGGGGGACTGTGAAAAAAACCATGGTTGTAAATCCTGAATGTTTCACTCAATACTTCAAACCCCTGAATTAATTTTCTGGAGCTAAATGTACTTGTGTTTGCAAGTTGCACACGTACGTGTAGGTGAGAGGGAGGGTTGAAATTAGTTTACAGCCGCCTTTTGGCAGAAAACGCGAGCTGCTCTATTTTCCAATGGCAAGTGTTTCCATGGAGGGAAGTCTGGCTGCTCGCTGCCTCATCTCTGGAGAGACACCCGGCCAAAAAAATAATGAAAACTGGCAACAAAAGAGGATAAATTTCAGCCCGTTCATGAGAAAGACATCGGTCTGTCTCAGAAATCTGCACAACAAAGACAAGGAAGATCCCTCCCAGAAAGCTCTCATGTATCCACCGCTGATACTACTTCGATGTCGGCACCGTGAAATTGCCCTGAATCATCAAGTCCGCCATTCTGCATAATCAAACAGCAGCAGAATACAAATGTGACCTAAATATGTATTAATATTCGGAGCTGTGAGAGGACAGCGGTTGCACATGATGGACCATTAAATAATTAATCTGCCGTAGATGAGAATGGATGATTTAAGGCTTGTATGGGTGTATGCCTGGGCTAAATTCATTTCCAATAAAAACCTGGAGCAGCGTCGTGTGTGTCCAACCCTTCAGTGACTTGTGGGTGGGCCTGCAGCTACATCGTCATGGACCACACAGATTCATTGAATGTGTGTATATCTGTGTGCCCAGGAATACCAGCCTTCATGTAACCTTGCCACTTCTCGAGGTGACCGACTAACTGAGCAGGCTCAGAACTGTCTAGTCCTGTGTTTGCAAATGTGTGTCCTTGTTATTTAATTTAATGTGTTTTACATAAGAGCTGAAAGGCCATAAATGCCCTCTCTGACTGTAGGGCAAAGCATGTACTCATTATTCTGTATGATTATCAGTATGTGTGTGCTCTGTGCTGAAGGCTTCCCATGCTAGTGTTTTTATATCTATCCCACAAGAAATTATACAGTTCATCTACATTTATTCAGACCCCGTGAATGACAACAAAGCGAAGAAGTGACAGAAGTGTGAACCAGGGGAAATGTTTGATTGCATCACCTGATGACTCAGTTATCGAGGCTGACTGTGGAAATTCTGGATTTGCTACAGTATCCACATGAGAGATGCGACTTCTTCATCACCTCAGAAAAAAAAGACCTCAGAAAGATGAGATGGTGGGAGGAAGACGCTAAGACGGCAATAGTGAAGAAGTGAGAGACGAGGATTAATCCTGTAATAATAATGACGAATGAACCAGCGGGAGAAAGCAGGGAAGAAAAAAAAAATCTTTTTGAAGCTGAAATGGTTTCTCTGAACCTCCTCTGAAACTTCCAAAGATACCATGATTAATGCTGCTAAATAAAGTGTGTGGGAGCGTGTAAGTGTGCATATGTACATGTATCAGTGCGTCTGAGTTCTGTCGCCACATCGCTGATGATCCGTATCCCACACATGCCGCAAAACACCACGCAGCAGCAGTGCGCTTCCTTCACATGTATGTGAAACATTTGTGATATATTAATATAGTGATGTTCTGTAGTCCACATTACTATTAGAAAAGCCATTTTTTACAAAAGCTATCTGGTTGTTCAGTGATGACGTGACGAATCCTACTTCCAGGTCTAAAGTAGTCTGCGTTTAATATGGCTTTTGTGTTGTTAACATGTTTAATGTTTTGTATTTTCTTCTATTTGATCTCAAAAAGCTCCTAAAACAGTCAGTGATCACTGTTGACCTCCCTCGGCTTTTATTACCGCTAATCATTTATTTAAGCTCAGTTTTTAAAACCTTAGGATGTAACTACAGCCCAGCCCATGCAGCAGTATATGAATGACTAACCTCGTATTGTGGATGGATTATCTCAGTTGTTCTCCTGGCTGAAGTTTGGTCCTTTTACAGCATCCTGCCATGCGATTACATTTGTTCCTGACCACCGAGAACACTCACGTTAACTTTTATCGAGTGGAAAAAAAGTTAGCTTGTTTATATTATGCTAACATAGCTGTGTCGCTAGCGGTCACGTAGCACATCATTATATACCAGCTAGCCAAACTTCAGTAACCCTACAAACGTCACTGCTGTTTAGTTTTCTGTCTTCATTTATGTTGGAAGTGATAACAGAGCTGTACGTTTTAATTTGTTTCCAAAACCCCGCAGTCAGGACATGCTATATTGTATTTAGATAGAAGCTAGCGAGCTAACTTCCTGCTAACTTCTAACTCCGTTAAATGTCATAAATTCCGTTTTCATGGATGC